TTATCTCCTTTTTTAATAGACTTATTTAATAAAAAGCTATAAAATAAAATATAATAACGACGTTAATAATTAAAGCTAAACTATTTAACTTAGAATATATTATTAAAAAAATACTCGCTCTAAAATACCTTTTTTATAATATATCGCTAGAGCTCGGCAATATATAAAAAGTTTATTATAATAATCGTTAAATAATTAAACTTATAATAAAAAAAAAGGAATATATTTTAACTCGCTTTTATTACGTTAATATTTAAAATATATAGCTTCGTTAAAAATATTTAAAAAGCTCTTTTTAAATAGTCTATATATTAATAAATAAAATACTAGTTAACGGCTTTATAAAGAACTTTTTATAAATAAAATTTAAGTACTTCGTATTATTTTTAAATATAAAAAATATATAGAAAATAGTTATATAGAACGAGGGAATATTAAAGAGGTAATAGAACGCCCCGGGGGGCCCGGGTTTTTAATTTATAAATATAGCCTATAGTTAAAGAATATAAATTTATTTTAATAACCCCGTCGGGTTATTATAAAAAGGTTATTTATTTAAAAAAGTAAATATATATTAATTTAAAAAGGATTTTAATATAAATACTACGTTGGCGGGGATATAAATATTAATAAAAGTATTAATTTTAATTTAGATATTATTAACTTTTATATATAAAATAGCCGGTACTTTTACGTCTTTAACCGGCCTTTTTAACTTAGCTTTAAATAAAAAAAGAGCGTTAATAAACGCCTCTTTTACCTCGGCCTCGTTTATATAAACTTTTTTATTTTTATTTTTATTTAATAACCCGTTAGTTATTAAGGCTTTATATAATGCCGCTATTATATAAATTAAGGCCTAGGGACGGTTAGTAATTATTTAGGATAACGATATATATATAGATTTACTTTTTATAAAGTCTTTATTAAGTTCTCTTTTTTTATTTATTTAAAATATAAAAACTTTTTATTTAGCTCGCGCGTACGCCCTTAAAAAGAAGCGTAACCGGATTTTTTATTAATTTAATAGCGTATATATTTATTATTAATAATTAAGTTTAAAAAGTATTACCCCTCTATTCGTTTATTAAGGGCGCTTTTAATATAATTTAAATATTTAGAACCGAACGGTAATAATATTTATTTAAAAAGTTTTTTAATACTAGGGGTATTAAAAGGGTACGCTATTAAGAATTAGAATTATAAATAATAAAAATAAAAAAGGATAGTATATTTATAAAGAACTATTTTATATTTATTAAAAGGGGGCGAGGGAAAGGGTTCTAAACCTCTTTTACTTTTACCCTCTTTTTATACCGTCTCTTTTTTAATTTATTAATTATTATTTATAAATAAAATCGTTAATAAAAATAAAAATAAAGTTATAATATAATACTATCGTTTTATTAACTAAAGTTTAATATAAAAAAAATATTATATATTTAGAAACGGATCGTTATTATAAATAGAGGAGCTACCGCTCTCTCCTAATTTTATTTTAAAGTACTTAGCTTTATATATTATAATAATACGAGCGCGCTTTATAGCCCGGGTTATTTTAAATATTTATATTAAAACGATATTATTAGCTTTAAATCGTATTTTTAATAATAGGTATACGTAAAAACGCGAGTATAAAAATAAAAAAGTAAAAGTATATATATAGTTATAATATAAATAAAAGTTTTAAAAGAAAAGGAAAGTTAAAATAAAGGGTAGCTATAAAGAATTTATTTACTTATTTATTTTAAACTATAAATCGATTATTTAGTTAATAAAAAGCCGCCCCTCGGTCCTACTTTTTATTAATAAAAGACTTTTAAAATTATTTATAATAACGAATACGGCTAGCGAACTATTATTTATTTATTTTATATTTATAACTTAATATATAAAGCGATTTATTTTATAATTTCTTTTATAAATAGATTTTTATATAATATTATTTAGATTTCCGCTTTTAACGAGCTTTTTTATAATAATATAGGTAGTTAAGCGCGCTTTTTTTAAATAAAGATTTATTTAGGGGGGTATATTATAATAGCTTTAACTATCTATAACCTTATTATATATTACGTAACCTTAGTTATATAATTACCGAGCTCTATACTCGCTCGTACCCTTTATTTTAGGGCGAGCTTCGTACTTATTTCCTATTTTTAATAGATAACCGTTCTCTATATTCAACGTCGATGCCCCTATCGTGACTATACGATATTTCCCTTTAGTAGAAAGCTGCAGGCCGATAGCAGTGCCAACGTCCCTTCACTGACCATACAGGTGGTGAACGGAGTGTGATGGAATCGTTCGGTCGGCAGCGCCAAAAGCCTCAGCTGTGCTTGCACCGCCCGAAGAACTCTGACAGTATGCACATTGATCAGTTCTGTCTCGAGGTTCTCTTGAGGAGGCTCTCTGGCACAACTTGAGATGTACTCTACGGGGTTGAATCTCAGATCTGATAGAGGTCGATGTAGACCAATGCTTGCTCTGATGAATCGGACGAATGTCAGCTGATACAAGCCTCACAAAAAGTTCAAGACTTCATCTTACACGTTAACCAAGAGATGAGCCTGGAACATTAGCTCATCAATCTCTCCGGTTTTGGACATGACATGGCGACGATCTTCTGGGAGCAGTAATGACCAGCCGTCGATGATTGAGTCTGCTTCTTCAATCATACGCGTAGAGTCCTCTCTGGCAACTAATCTCGGTGTCGTAGATATTGCCAGGGCAGCGCATCTTACAGCGCCGATGAGGTATGCAAAGGAAGAGTAAGACGTATCCTCCGAAGCGAACTCGCGGAGGTCAAACTCTTCGAGAGACTGCGATTCCGGGATGTCCTATGAAATGTGAGAAGTATGAGTCCAGTGCGAATGATCCCTGAAATTCTTTGGCCAGGAATAGCATTACCCCAGATTCGTACTCTGACTCCATGCAGGGTAGCTCTACGTTGGAGTCTACATCCACGACTGCAAAGTTCATTGTCCCGAGAGTTCCAGCGTAGTACGCATCGATGATGTACAGCATCCACCATGTCCGCCTCCAACATTCCATCAGCATAGTAGACTCGGCTCCATGAGTTGCTGCGAACTCCTTTTGGAACATTCGCAGGTCGAGTGCTAAGCGGACTGCGAGGTCCATTTGATACTTAGCCTCCATTTTGTGGCTGTACCAGAACAGGGCTATGGAGTAGAGTAGCCGGCATTGCACAATGACCGGGTCAATCGGCGCTGGCTCAGAAAGTTGACTTTCGACGTCGTCTTGGAGCTCTGAAGACCATGTTCTCGTAGTGTAAATGTGTCCTACAAGATGCATAGTGCTTATTAGTGGTCTGAGTCGTCCTATCCAATTAGGATCTTGACGAAATCTCGTAAACTGCTCTTGCGGTAGGAGAAACGGGTGGAATTTGTGGAAATCAGTGTAATATGCGTTTGTAAGTGCATCGTGCTTGGGATCATCCGGTCGTATAGTCGAGGGTACCGGCGGAACCGATGTAGGAATCTGATTTTCGAGGCTACCGTCATCGAAAATACCCAGTCCATGGTTCAACTCAGCAAGAGAGTCTTGGCCGAATATTTGTGAATCTGATGATTGCTGCGATGGTAGACTCGTCGGTGACTCGGAACTGCTATTGCCGACGCTATTCACGACGGCAAGGCGTTTTCTTCGTTCAGCAAGTGCTACACGATCCAAGCCGCCCCGGCGTGATGGGGCATAGTTGCATTCCTTTGCGGCGGCAGCACATCTATCGCAACGAGGTCGTTTTCCGTCGCACTTCAAGTGTCTCGAGCGGCATGACAGACAGGCCAGCGAGGAGCGAGATGCTGCGCCGTTCGAATGAGCCGGTGCGACAGGGGTGGTCATCGGTGGGTGTGTCAGCCGGTGTGTGAAGTTGAAATTGGGAAGAAGTTCAGATGTCCGCCGGTCGCTTTGACGGCTGCGGGGACTCGGGTATTCGGGGACCCGTTGTAAGTCAATCGGTTACCCGATGTAAGCCGGCCGCCACGTTCGCGATAAAGTCATGGAGCTAAGGAAATTAGCGTGGGAGAAGTCAGAGACGGCGCAACGGGAATCCGCTAAGAGGAGATGGGGAAACTGATGTGTTAGTACAATTGCGCGGGAATAGGGATATCCATAGTGAGTAACTGTATCTGGCATCTGACAGGAGGTGCTTGTGAAGCTTGACGCTGGTAGTAGTGTATAAAGCTCGGCGGACTGCGAAAGGTTTGAGATTAAATATGTACATAAGACCTGTATACAATCTCACTCATACGACAACTACTGTCTTGGCTATTCTATCATCCACTGCAAGTCTCAATTTCTAGCAGTCACTCTCATACAACTATGTCCGGCAGGATCGTCATCGTTGGCGCCGGGTTCGCAGGTGTCTGGAGCGCCCTTGCTGCCAAACGTCTTATCAACATCTACAGCCAGACCGAAGCTTTCAAAGTCACCGTCATAGCTCCGCAGGCATGTCTTGTCATGCGACCACGGCTGTACGAAAAGAACCCATCGAGCATGAGCCAAAATCTCGAACCAATATTCAAGGCATCCGGCATCGAGTTCATCCATGGCAGCGTCGATGATATCGATGCTCACTCCCACACAGTCTCTTATAGGTCTAGCGCAGGCACAGAACACTTTGCCACATATGATCGTCTCATTCTTGCAGCTGGAAGCTCGGTCATTCGCCCAGAGCAGGTATCTGGACTTCCGCAGCATGCGCATGATGTAGACTCGCTAGAAGGCGCAATCAAGCTCGAAACGCACCTCAACAGCCTTGGCGCCTACCCACCGACTACTGCTCGCGATACTGTCGTTGTATGCGGTGCTGGTTTCACTGGAATTGAGGTAGCGACAGAATTGTTCAAACGCCTCCGTTGTATCAAGAATCCGCGAGTAATCTTGGTGGAGGCGACGGAAGTGCTTGGTCAAGAGCTGGGGCCAGGCCCTCGACCTGTCATCACCCAAGCACTGGAAGAGCTTGGCATAGAACTTAGACTCGCCTCGTCTATTACAACGGTCGACCCAGGGGCTGTTCAGCTCGCTTCGGGAGAGATAATCGAGACTATGACGACCATTTGGACCGCCGGGGTGCGGGCAACACCCTTGACGCAGAAAATTCCTGGGCCCAAGGATAAACTATCACGCCTTCATGTCGACCGCTACCTGCGCGCCACATCATCAGAGCACGTCTTTGCCACTGGCGATGCTGCTTATGCTGCCTCTGACAACGATGGGCACTACGCATTGATGTCCTGCCAGCACGCTCTTCAGCTCGGCCGTGTCTCGGGATACAATGCAGCCGCAGACCTCCTGGGAGTTCCCCTCTTCGAGTACAGACAGACATCCTATAACTGCTGTCTTGATCTTGGCGCTTGGGGTGCCGTTGTTACGGGTGGCTGGGAAAGGAAAGTACGGCTTACAGGGGAGCTGGCGAAGCAGGCCAAGATGTACATCAATCAGACGTTGATATACACGCCTGAGGACTATCATCGGGCGCTGGAAGCGGCCACACCCGTCGGACCTGACTCTGACGAGTTATTCAAGCAAATCATAGAGGCCGTTCAAAAAGGGTTGATTTTGTGAGTCGGTAATTTGTCTAGAATCCAGTACTTCAGTCATGAGAACCGGCCTGCACCTGTCGTCAGGTAGTGATAGTGTGTGAGTTTTCGAAGATACATGTAGTCTTCATCCCAAGTCAGTCTTCGTGCGAAAAGTCCATATGCGTTTGTGCATACGCCTTGAAGATGCCTCAAATGGACTGCGAGAGTCGAAAAAGGGATATTTGATATGATTGCTATTCTTCAAACGGATGCCAGACCCCTGGAATATTCCATTCTTAAGCAACGGATGGCATTGCCAAAAGGATCTTCAACTGAAAGTACAACTTTTAGAGATCTCTCTCCACCTCATCCGCAATCTCATTGATTTGCTCAACGAACTTTTCCACCTCAGTAATAAAGGCCGAATGCCCCCCAGGATTTCTCAGAACTCTCTTAAGCGTCGGAATTGTCGAGATGATTTGCTCTTGTGTGGCTGGAGATATTGTCTGGTCTTTCTCGCAAAGGATGTAGTAAACGGGAACCGTTAGCTCCTCCGAACCGACAGACGCCGGACCCAAGAGAGCCTCTTGTGACTGCGGCAGCAATGTCGCCATGCACTCATCGGCCAGCTTGTCGTCCATGTCAGGGCCGTAGAACGCGGCCTTGGCCTTGGCGTTTGCCATTACCAGGCCATCAGCAATATCGACAATATCCAAGCCAGGGGGCAGCACGCTCAGTGCACTGGCGCCAGCCTTAGGGGGCATGTTGGCTGTAACAAAAACGATGGCTCGGATGCCGCCCTTGAGACCCTGTGCTGCTCTTTCCTTGACTGAGTAGCCTTTGGCTGCGATGGTCAAGGGGCTTCCGCCATATGAATGCGCCAACGCAAGGAACTCTTTGCCCTGTTCCAGGTAGGGGGCAATTTCGGCTTGGATGTTCCGGGCATCGTCGTCAACGGTGATTTTGGGATCGGTTCCCACACTGGGATGGCGAACAGCAACAACCGGAGAAAACCCAGCCTTCTCGAGCCGAGCTTTGGCGAGGTCAAAACAAGCGGGGAGGTGGAAGCCCCCGTGGGCAAAAACAATGCCCAAAGATCTGGCTTTGTGCGATACCGCTGCCATTGTGCTTTCAGGCCACCTTATGTTCTCTGGTGATGAATGATGTAAGTTGAATCGAAAACGTGTCTTTGGGACTTTTGCAATTCAGATCCTGCAAGTTATCAGTCTTGTTGCTCGGGCAGACAAATCTGACTCAAGATTGAGATGTGAGGGAAATGCTGATCATCTTATGGACGGGTCCCAAACTTCCATTAGTCTTAACCTTGTAGACTTGGTGGGACAGGTGAGTCGCTTAATGATCCGTTGCAATGTGGCATTTTTTCAAAGGGACGAACCCGCAGTAAAGACTGCCTTCAATTATGGGGATATCGCGAAAAGCAAACCAATCAATGGTAACGGACCGCTTCCAAACCGGTATTTCTGAAAAACCAACAGCCTCATTTTTCATTTGATACATTAGCTCTGATACCCGACGACTCACATGAAATCTATTGATGAGTTAGATAGTACCGAGATTCTAGGGACCGACCAGATGGATAACAACTCTAGCAACGCTAGACGTTGTATGGAAAACTCCTGGAAAGATAGCATTTGTTGTTCCGAGCTTTGAGAAAGAGAGTTTGCTTGACTCGGGATGAACGATTACATGCGGCATCGTGAAGATTTATTGTGGTGCGGCCCACGAATCGCGGCATCGTGACGAATGGAGTCAAGGAAGGAAGACATGGGTCCCAGGTACCGGATCGAACGGCGCAGCTCCGCGCGCAACGCCGGTATGTTTGCGGAATTATACTCGCTAACAGCGCAGTTCAGCGAAAGAAAGGTCCTTTTCCGATGAATTTTCAGTTTCATTCTATGCTAGCAATAAGTTTATATCATTTTTACTTACAAAATTCTCACCGCTCGTCGATGGTGCTTTTAGCTGGCATTCGGCAAACTACTTTCCCAACGGACAAGTTGCGCCAGGCCCGTCACAAAGCACAATATGTCGGACGTCACATATTCTTCCGCAGAAAATATTGCAAGGGTTTTGATTGTACCTCATGCTGTTTTCAGTGTTCTGGCAACCGTCCTGGTTGGCATGCGACTTTACGTCACTAGAATTATAGCCAAGTCGCCATGGACTTTCGACGAACATGTCGCCATCGTAGCATTGGTGAGAGGGCCCGTATCCCGAAGCACTCGTAGCATTAAGAGTCTTCTTTCGCTAATGGACGAGTTATACAGATTGCCAACCACATCATGCTGATTACTGAAGGTATTTGTAAGTTATCGTTTGCAGTTCATGGGCACCCCCTACTGTTGAAGCCCATAGTCCTCTACGCCTGCCCTTCATCGCACCGTTGTACTGATGATGCCTTGCAGCGGTAGAGTATGGCCTCGGAACAGATGTCAATCAAATAGTGGAATTATATCCGGGTGGCGTTTCAGCATTCTTAAAGGTATGTCATATCGCTCTTTGAAAGAACATTAAGAACATGTACCTATAAAGCTTTCAGGCCACTGTGAACCAACGTTTGAAGACTGACTTCCAACTTCATAGTGTATCCTCGTATTGGAAATTCAGTATGCTATTGCATGTCCGCTGTCCAAGATGGCAGTTCTTGCGATGTTCTACAGAATCTTCTCCGCGTCCAAGATGCTTCGGTATAGCATTTGGGCCATCACTGCCATGCTCGTTGGATGGTGCATTGCCGTCATTATGGTCAGCAGTAAGTCAAATGCACAAAGAGGCACAGACAAGTCAGAGCGGTATTGTATTGACGCCGCTGTATAGTTTTTTCTTGTACTCCGATCCCTCGCTTTTGGGATCGAACTATCCCTGGAACATGTATCAACTCGAGCAATTTCTTCATCGGAATCACAGTTCCGAACATTATCTTCGACATCCTTACGGTCGTGCTTCCCATTCGCGAAGTCTGGGCACTACAAATGGGGAGGGAGAAAAAACTTGCTATCAGTGGTGTTTTTCTCTTAGGAGGCAGGTAAGTTGACTCAACCCTCATCGTGAAACTACGGATCGACAATGACTAACACGAATTGTTCGAACAGCGTCGTGCTCGCATCCGTCGCACGTCTCATTCTATTCGCCATCTATCGCCCTGGCCAAGGGACCACTGGAAACAACATTAGTCAAACGGTCATTATACCTCACGCTGCATCCGCCGTGGAGACTTGCCTAGCTATAATTGGAGCCTGTCTCCCGCCATGCGCACCGCTTTTCCGGCGTTGGCTTGGTGGAGTTGTTAGCGTCGTTAGTTCGGGGGAACGGTATGGCTCCCGCTCAGCCAGGAAGAAGGGGCCTGACGGACAGGGGAAGTCCTCGGCCTCCAAGAACTTCAATACTCTCGTCACAATTGGCAAGATTTCCAATCGCGGTGGTCATATGAAGCGATCGAAGGAACAGGATGATCTTGACGGCTCGTTTGAGCGCCTTGAAGACAGCAATAGCCTGCAGGGCTCTACTGACGGGTTGTACTTGAACGGCAATGGCGCTGCAAAGAATGAAGGCGGTATTCACTCCGAGAATGGCATCCATGTCCAGCGAGATGTTTGTGTTGAACGCAGTGGTAAGGTCACGTCAAGAGATGTTAAGGACTGGGTTGTGGGCGACATACAGTTAAATGACATGCCCGCTCAAGGTGCATCTTCTAAGCAACAGGTGGGCCTTGCTAGATAGCTGTCACGGTGCAAATTTCAATATATTCAGAATCTCCAATGAGGAACCAATGACAGATTTTAGTGAAAAGTCCCTCGAAGTCGGTACTAGTATGAGACCACGAATAATGATGTCTTTGGATGTGACCTGACATATGTGGTAGTCATTCCGCATTCGCGGGCCGGACTTGAACTCTACCACAACCTCCTAAGTCCGTTCCGAGGCACAACTCTTCTCAGCGACCGACGGCAATCAGCAGACTAATGTACTTGGAGGAGGTCGGCTAAGTTTAACTCCATCGGACGATGCGACCTACTCATCATTCGGGACGAAGCTGGACGCTCGGGGTTTACGCGGGGTTAATGACGAATTGAGTGAGGGCAGAAGCAACATATGTACGGGTCACCGCTGCTTGATAACTACTACCTTAGAGAACATGGAAAAAAGATATAAAGCTAATTCAAAGTCCCAAGGACATACTGTGGGCATATGCTATTCTTCCCGGAATACAGCTGTGCACCTTTGAGCGCGAGATTTCACCGCCGCAGCTGTCAGCCCCTCTTCAAACAAATCGTTCATCTGCGACAATGGCATCCAAGTACAACAAACTTGCAGACAAGCATGTTCTCGTCATCGGCGGATCATCGGGCATTGGTCTAGGCGTCGCAGAAGCTTCTCTCGCAAGCGGAGCAAACGTGACAATCTCGTCTTCATCCATAGCCAGGCTCACTGCTACTGTTACATCTCTGCAAAATGCCATCCCATCTTCGTCGCAGCAAAAGATTCAATGTTTCGCAGCCGATCTCTGTGGACCAGACGCCGAAGCCAATATTGAAGCCGTTTTCGAGAAAGCCGGCCCCATCGACCACGTTGTCTTCACGGCAGCAAACACACCTTCCTTGATCATGCTGCAAGACTTCACACCCGACCAGATTCTGGCCGCCTGTCAAATGCGTTTCGTTGCGCCTTTGATGGTCGCCAAAGTTGCAGAAAGGTATCTGCCGAAGAGCAACGAATCATCCCTCACTATTACGAGCGGTAGTGCTGCGCAGAAGTCGACGCCTGGCTGGTCAGTGATCTCTTTTCTTGCTGGTGGGCTGCAAAGTGTAGTCAAGCAGCTTGCAGTAGAATTGCAGCCTGTGAGAGTCAATGTCGTTTCTCCTGGATTCGTTGACACTGAACTTTGGGATGGCATGAAGTCGGATGAGAAGCAGTCCATGATCAAAGCTGTAGAAGAGAAGGTTCCGACGGGGCGATTTGGTACAGTTGAAGACGTGGCTGAGGCGTATATTTGGCTCATGAAGGACCGCAACGTCACTGGAACTGTAGCTGCGACTGACAGTGGTGCTCTTGTTGTGTAATGTTTTCGATAGAAGTACAACGATTACGCAAGAACCATACGAATCTTTGATACAACTTGTTTTCTCTCATGAGATCAGAACATGCCGCCTAATCCCTCCAATAACTACCCAAAGTAATTATTCTCAAGTGCTCTGATCATTTGATTGTTCATGTACAACCAATTGCCCAACTGCGATCCATAGTCATCCACTTCCCCCAGATAGTTCTCAGGTCTCGACAATGAACCTGATGTCCATTCCTGGTTTGCTGGCTCGTGGTCATTGAGAACATCTCCGAAAGGCCTCATGTTCGACGTGTTGGAGGTCTGCCCCAGAGTCTGCTGATCGGATGCTGCTCCCGGCGATGCGAGACAGATCGAAGGCTGTAGTACCGGTGGATTTACGTTCTCGTCCGCGAATTCCCATCCATTTTTGAACTGAACTTCGGCCAGCTGGGAAGAATCTTCATCCGATCTCAGCTTAACATAACTGCAAGCAACATCGTATAACGTCGTAAACATCCGCACCTCTTTCTTGACGCCGATTGTGAAAGAATCCGCAACGGTTGATCGGAGAGTATCAACCAACGCAGCTAGTAACCGAAGGTCTGACTCGTTACATGTCTCGATAACGTGACAAAACAGTACAATGAAGGGTATGAATGGAGAGGATAGCAGAGCCCTATAAGGACCATCGTCAGAAAGCAGAAAGTTTACTGGGCCTCATAGAGTTTTTGCAGAAGAAATTGCTCACCAATTGATATAGGCTTCAAGGTAATACTCTTCCATTCCGGCAACCAAGATCATGCATCTTTGATGCTCTTCTAAGGCTTGCCGAGCGCTCGCAATACAGGCTCCTCCAAAAGCACTGATCTCACCTGCTTCAGGTGGAATTGCACGATGTATTAGACAACAAAGAGACAGCTGATTGACTGTGTCGGTTCGTATGAAGGCTTCTTGGAGTTGTTCTCCAATAATCTCACGCACCGTTCCTATGTAGCGTTTCCGCTTTAAGAAGTTAACATGGGTTTGCATGACCGAAGGGAATGAACGAGAATGATCGATGGTAGTGGGATGTTTCAAAGGGAGCATCGACTCGACTTTTGCTTGCGGAATCTGACAGCGCGTATCACTCACGTGGTCCATTACGCTCCTCATGTGCATTTCCAAGTCAGCTCCCAGACGCCGGGCTCGCTCTACTCTGACTGACTGGGGCTGCATCAATGCAGCAGGGCTGTATATCTGGTCGTAGACCATCCCCTGTATGGTAGCAAACTCCGTAGATCCTGGGAAAATGCTCATCATATCCGCATTCGAGACCGTGTCTGATCTGGGCCGGGGTATCGTGATATCTCCGTCTCTGATGGTGGATGAGCGACCCATCCGAAGAGAAAGTCCTTTTTCTAGTACGTAAACAAGCCAGAATATCCTCCTCTTTTCTTTCTGTACTTCAGGATTGTCTTGCGTCATGGCAACGTGACTATGAAATCCTAGTGTTTGGCTCATGTGGGCTGCTGTTGTTATGAAATTCCAGGCCGCGGATGGCTGGCATACTTCGAGACAATACAGCGCCTACTTAGAATCAGTTATGTTCGAAGCCTTACTCATTTCAATGGTATAATGTGCAACTGTTTACTTGCCGCAAGAGACATGGCGAGAGTAATCTCAATTGTAGACGGTAGATGAAATGGAAGCTGGGAGAGCACCGTCTCAAGGTTATTCCGAGAGATGATTGCTTGAGCTTCGAAATGATTTCGCTTGTCGTGTTCTTTCGTGACATACATGCATTCCAAAAAGAGCCAGTATAGACCAGAATTGACAATTATCAAGTCTGCCTGAGTAACATCTCCTGGTGAATACACTTTGAGAAAGAAGTTCGTGAATGATTGGCTCAAAGCGGTATTCAGATTCCACATGAATTTTACTTGTGGATGCTCTAGCTGAATGATTAGAACCTTTAGAAGACATACTTTTGAGGTCAGGTAGCCTCGCTTACCTTGTGCCATCCTGAAGCAGACGAAGACTGACTCAACGGGTGGCATAGGTAAGTCTCGTACGCAAGTGCCCGGTGTGAGAGCAATAGCATTGGGGTACAGGTAGTCAGGATCTTGCAGGTTTTTCTGATTTCCGAGCGTACGACTCAAAGATTCCAAGACTGAGACCATCTCACCCATGACGTTAGTCGACTGCCTATTGTTGACAGCATCATGAAGAAATCTGTTCGCAAAAGCAGCTTGCGCTGAAAGAGACGACTCTCCCTCATATTCTGCCTTTGGCGTAACGATCTTATTCTTTCCCTGATTTGGTGTAAATGCTGCCGTTAGTGTATCTTGTGTCATTTGAGGAGGCATCGGTAGCGAAACATCATTATGTGTGAAGCTGTGCAAAGTGTTGGTTTTGGGTTTATTGCTGCCCTGGTCGCCCAACGCCTGACTCAACTCTTCAAGCTTCTCTGCGATGAGATCAATCTTTCGTTCGCTTCCAATCTCTCAGCAGACCTTTCGAATTGATTGATGTTTTACATTCCACTTACTAAAGCTCAGATATGAAGACTCGCTGCCGCTTTTCCTTGGGCCTCTGCTTGGTAGGATAATTGCACACTGCACCTGATCGAGTGCAGTGAGAACATGGAAGACGTCGATCGCAACGTACCTAGTTACGGGCAAGAAATCAGTATTTATTTAAGTTTTGGTAGGTAGAGCGTGTCTTTTCCAGCTTATCCTACCTTTCGACGTCGGCATCGATCGCACTGGTCCGGGGTAGTCAGCGGAAATCCGGAAACACAGAGTCAACAATTAGCGAGGCTTACAGATATTCTAGGGACCGAGACTTCGCCGATATCTTCATGGGGGCTATCTTCGTCATGTGTTTCGCCTCTACCGTCTTCACCCCTGGGAGTAACATTCATTCTGACTATGTATGCTCTGGTGGTCTGTTTGGCAGTTTATCGCCCAGCGGTTTTTTGTCTTCGGGCATTCACTTCGGGAAAACAATTTGGCCAAAGGTGGTTTCTTCGGTCGCGTGATTGCCTTCCATAGAATCCTTTATTGTGATTAACGTGTTCTTTTTCACCGCTCGTAAGTGGTGGTGATTTGTTCACCACGGCGAGAATAACTCACGCGTCCCGCGGGCTCCGCGATAAAGTCTCCTATTGCCTAATCGAGAAAATGTCCAAGACCTAGGTCAAGATTGACTCCACCATCTAAGACCTTCGACAAAGGCAGCGATTCAGTCTTTTTGGTTTTTTTTGGATATAGAAGAACGGGCGAGTGGACGCTTGGCATCCCGTGTCCGATGTGATGGGTGGGCAAGAGGATGCGGTCTCCTGGAAACCCGCACCTCCGCCTTGCCTCAGTTCAGGTTGTCTTACACGACGCCGAGCACCGTAGATTAGCAGTTTCTCCATACACGGTGATTGCGCATAACACCTTTACCAAATGTCAGATTTTATTGAACGTCTTGGTGTCTGCAGGAGATGCTCAAAAGCCTCGCAGGCCCCTCAAAATGATGAGTGTCGCTTGGTTCATGATCATATGCCACCCCATGCCTAATAATATTGCATACTCTTGAGCAGCAGTCCCTCATTTTTCCCCCCGGCAACTGACAGAACCTATATTCTAGTCTTTACTGATCTAACTTTCGTGGGTAAATTGAACGATTTTCAGACGGTATCATCTGCCTCTTTGACCATGGAGAAGCGAGAAGTGTCTTCCGAGCGCGAAAACCATGACCCATCTGATGGCAATCACAGCGGGAGCCATTCTAAGCCTACCAATGGACTGAAAGGGTTCTTTGTAAGCGACCGTCTATATACGACTACAGAATTAAACTAACGAGATTCAGCGCATCTTTAGATATGGCGGACCGACCGACTACGTTCTCGAAACTGTCGCCGTGGTTGCTGCCATAGGGTCTGGAGCAGGCTTGGCGATGGTGAACCTCGTTCTTGGTCAATTCATGGACATCATCGCCAACTACACCACTGGTGCCATCTCGTCTGATGAATTTATGGCTGGCGTGAGCAAGTTCTGGCAAGTTGTTCGCGCAAAATACCTCTAAAACATCACTTCTCAGCTGATACCTCTTCATCCCAGCCTCTACTTCGTGTACATCGGTATCGTTCGATTCGTTCTCACGTATATCTACGCGACAATCTTCACCTATGTTGCGTTCAACATTACCCGAAATGTCCGATGTGCTTACCTTCGGTCCACCCTACGCCAGGAAGTCAGCTTCTTTGATCACGGTACCGCCGGGTCCATCTCTATGCAGGCGACTTCCAGCGGGAAACTAATCCAGTCGGGAATTGCTGAAAAGCTTGGGCTCGTTTTCCAAAACCTCACTACTTTTCTGGCTGCCTTCATCATTGCGTTTGTGAAGCAATGGAAGTTGGCCTTGATCATCAGCTGTATCATGCCGGCTCTGCTGATTACGATGGGCTCAGTCGCGATCCCCGACGCTGTGATCGACTCGAAGATCTTTCCGATCTACGCGCAGGCAGGAACGTATGCAGAGAGCATTTTGGGCAGCATCCGGGCTGTCAAAGCATTCAGCGTAGAGTCCCGAATCCTCGAAAAGTACACGACCTACCTCGCCTCTGCGCGTCAACTCGGTAACAAGAAGAGTCCTCTCTACGGGGTCATGTTTGGTGGACAGTACTTCGTTATCTACGCCGGGTCAGGACTTGCCTTCTGGCAGGGTATCGCAATGGTTGCGCGTAAGGAAGTTGACGGTGTCGGCACAGTCTTCACGTAAGTCTCAATCTTTAGTGCTTGCCCCGGAGAGTCATGTCTATGTAACTGACGATCGAAATTCTAGCGTTCTATTTTCCGTTATCATTGCATCCACAACCATCACAGCAGTGGCACCTCATATGGTCGTGTTCAGCCGCGCAGCGACGGCCGCTTCTAAGCTCTTTGCTCTCATCGACAGGGAGTCGTCAATCGACCCTTTCAGTGAGTTGGGTGCTAAGCCTGAGAAGGTGTCCGGCACTATCGATATCGAGAGAGTTAGCTTCAGCTACCCTACCAGACCAGATACTCAGGTGCTGAAGGACTTTTCCCTTCGAGTTCCTGCAGGCAAAGTCACAGCTCTTGTTGTGCGTGTTTCCCAAACCTGTGTGGCGAATGGTGCCTCTAACTTGTCCTGTTTCTAACCCAATGCAACAGGGAACAAGCGGCTCCGGAAAAAGTACTATCATCGGCTTGTTGGAGAGGTGGTACGATGCCCAGGCTGGTCTCATCAAGCTCGATGGCGTCGACATTCGGACTCTGAGCCTGAACTGGCTCCGAACTAACATGCGTCTCGTTCAACAGGTACGAAGTCCCCATGCTGCAGTGAAGCCACAAATACCTCAACGAAGATTTTTACTTGCCTCATGCCGTCTTACGTACCGGTATCTTTACAACTGACCGAATCCAGGAACCTGTTCTATTCAATGCCACTGTGTTCGACAACATTGCCAATGGCTTAGTCGGTACACCTTGGGCCACTGCGACGCACGAGGAACAAATGGTTCGAGTCAGAGAGGCAGCAAAGCTCGCGTTCGCAGACGAGTTCATTGTCAATCTACCAGATGGCTACAATACACGCATTGGTGAACGAGGCGGTCTGCTCTCTGGGGGTCAGAAGCAGCGTATCGCCATCGCGCGTAGCATCGTGGCCCAGCCCAAGATTCTCTTGCTCGACGAAGCCACAAGCGCGCTTGATCCTCACGCGGAGGGCATCGTCCAAAAGGCTCTAGACAGTGCATCAAAGGACAGGACGACGATTGTTATCGCGCATAAGCTTGCAACTATCAGGAACGCCGACAACATTGTGGTCATGAACAAGGGCAGGATCGTCGAACAAGGCCGTCACTCCGACCTGGTTGCTGCTGGCGGAACTTATGCCAAACTTGTTCAGGCTCAGAATCTATCAGTCGATCACAACAATCAGAGCGACGATGGGTCCGATAATGAATCAACGCAAGCAATCGAAGAAACTCAGTCCCTGGCAAAGTACAACACCGCGGATGCACAGGTTCTCGCCTCGTTCAAGGACCGGGAGAATTTTGCTCTTCACACACAGACTGGACTGTTCCACACTGTGATGAAGCTGGTCGTGTCAACCCCAGAGATCAAATCTTGGTATCTGCTTGCCATGTGTACCTGTTTGCTGGGAGGTTAGTCAATCTTCTAGAAAGATGCTACGAGACACAGCACGGAGCGCTTGTACTAACCTTTATCCCAATCAACAGCCGCCGTCGACCCTGGCCAGACACTCCTTCTGGCTAAAGTAATGTCTGCTTTCACCGCACCAGACATGGTCCAACGTGGGAATTTTATCTCTTCGATGTATTTTGTAATGGCTCTGGGATGCATGATAGTCTATTTCGTTATGGGCTGGGCAACAAATGTTATCTCGCAGGTGAGTGTCGCACCCGACTAACCCGATCATCGCATTGAGCTGACTCCAACTCTCTTCACAGACGCTTGGTCAGAAGTTTCGTCAAGACCTTTTCAGAGACATACTCAAACAAGATCTTCGCTTTTTTGATCGTCCAGAAAACACAGTCGGCTCCCTGACCAGTCGGATCGAGTCGAACGCCCAGGCCATTACTGAGCTAATGGGATTCAACGTGGCTTTATGCCTAATGGCTCTGATCAACGTGCTAGCAAGCAGCATCCTTTCCATCGCCATCTCTTGGAAGCTGGGTCTCGTGGGAGTATTTGCCGGCATGCCCCCATTGTTGCTGTCTGGCTATGCACGCATACGCATTGAGACGAAGATGGATGCCGATATCGATTCCAAGTTCTCCGCCAGCGCATCAATTGCCTCGGAGACTGTAAGCGCTATTCGCACGATCTCTTCGTTGGCGATAGAGAGAAGCATGCTGCAAAGATATAGTAGCGAACTCGATGATGCGGTATCAAACTCGACCTTGCCTTTATTCCAGTTGATGGTGTGGTTCGCGCTTACGCAATCCGTTGAATACTTCATTTTGGGACTTGGTTTCTGGTAAGTGCCGTTCTTTCGTTCTGGTCCTTGTTCTCTCAAACTAATATTTTCTCAGGTGGGGGTCGAAGCTGGTCGCAAATGGAGAGCTTACGTTCTCACAATTCATCATCTCCTTCATGGGCCTCTTCTTCTCTGGACAGGCTGGCGCAACATTCTTCAGCTATTCCAGCAGTAAGTCCACGCCTTTCAGCAGACTTTCTGTCGGTCTTTGGACTGTATCCTGATTTCATCCCAATAGGTTTCACAAAAGCCAAGACTGCTGCAAACTACTGCTTTTGGCTCTCTAATCTCATGCCGACAATCAGGGAGAAAAAAGAAACCAAGGGCAAGGGTCCTGCGGTTGAATGCCAGATGATTGACTTCCGTGAAGTTCAGTTCTCGTATCCGTTAGCCCCCGACAATCGAGTTCTGAAGGGCGTCTCACTGAAGGTGCGTGTTATCGAGATCTTGAACGTAACTCGAGACGACTAATTGACGCGACACCTTTTGAAGATCGATCGGGGACAGTTCGTGGCCTTTGTTGGAGCTTCAGGCTGCGGCAAGTCAACAATGATCGCTCTCCTCCAGCGTTTCTACGACCCAACGAGCGGCTCCATCGTGATTGACAAGATAGACTCTCTTACAGATCTCAGCCCTCGCCTATATCGCAGCAAACTCGCGCTCGTCCAACAAGAGCCGACGCTCTTCCCTGACACCATCAGAGAGAATATCAAAGTAGGCATCGATTTCGACTCCCATGAGGGAGTTGTGGCGGATGACAGCGTCATCGAAGCAGCATGTCGTGCAGCCAATGCCTGGGACTTTGTCAGTTCTCTTCCCGAGGGGCTCAACACCCCTTGCGGACATGGGGGAAGTCAACTTTCTGGTGGCCAGAGACAGAGGATCGCCATAGCGAGGGCCCTGGTGCGCAACCCCGACGTCATCCTGCTAGATGAGGCAACGAGCGCACTTGACACGGAGTCCGAGAAGGTTGTGCAGAAAGCATTGCAGGAAGCGGCGGGTACGGGCAACCGCATCACCATCGCCGTAGCTCATCGCCTGTCCACAATCCGCGATGCCGACAAGATATGCGTCTTCTATCGTGGTCGGATTGTCGAGACAGGGACCCATGATGAGCTTATCGAGCTCGGAGGGATGTACAAGAAGATGTGCGAGGCGCAGAGCTTGGATAGGACAGTTTGAGTAGATTGATATATGTCAAGTAGAGCTTGATGATAGAAAAGTAGAGGGACTTCCGTGGTTTGTTACTAGAAATAAATTTAGTTTTTCGAGTTAAGAATTATCAAGACGACCATCAAAGGCTTTCTGAGATTTCTGCGGCGCGGACTGAAAGACCAGGATGTGTTGAGACTGTACTCGAATGGGAGAGATGAGGTCTAGAAAAGGACGTTATGATGCAAGTCAACGGGGCGAGGGGGGAAGGTTCAAGGTTCCGGCCAATAGGGACATGGCTTCTCTTGGCCATTCTTACTGCCCAATACGGCAAGTCGAGGAACCAACTCGCCGCCACTTACAGCCGCAATGATCGACAATACTCAGTGCCCGGCGCCTTGGTGATAACGATTGCGGATGGCCATTGACGTCAGCTCAGCATTGATGAGTAGGGTCTTGAAGCTGACCGTTATCGAGGCTTTGCTCACTGCAAGGAGATGAAGAGAAAGATAAAAGAGACTAAACGGCACCTCCTAGCTGATGTGCTCTCGCTTCGCTAAAAACAAAAACACAAGTTCATATAGGCCATTGTAACATCACGCCTGAAAACCCTAGCAACTAAAGCTCCATCATCTATTACAACGACTCAACGCGAATGAACAAAGACAATGGGCTCCTCAACAAGCAAAACCAACGACCCCTACTGGTGGGGCTACATCGACGACGGCAAGGGCTGGACGGCGCGCCCCAAATCCGAATACATGAAGACGCCGGCGTACAACAAGCAGCTGCGCCGACAGATGAAGCAAGAATCCCTGGCAAAGGGTGGGAGTGGTCATATCTCCATGGCGGAACAGTCTCGGAAACAGTGGTAGTACTAGATTTCGTCGAGAGCTTCATGGGGAAAGAAGCCTTTGCAGATTGGGTCTTTATGTGTATAGTCAGCTTGGTGCTACAAGCTTTGCTTTGAGGCATGCCAGATGCCAGCATCTAGGTACTTCACATCATCGTGCATTCAATAAGGCCATCCTGGAGGTGGCTGTTGATTCGTTGATGTAATACAGCCATTCATTGTAGACACTGCTCGAGGCCAGAACCTACCATCAAGACGAAAAGGAGTCATCAAGCCAAACACAGCAAGACACTCTAAACGTAAAAGTCATTTGATACCTAAGCTTTTGGCCCCCTTCACATCAGGAGGCAATCCTATAGCCAGATGTACACTACAGTTACATGCTTCAGACCACATCACATAGTCGTGAAATCCAGGTCTCATTTTGTGCTCGCTTTCTCTATCCCGAGGTTCCCATGAGTGAATCGTGGCCTACCACAAAATCCTCATCTCTGTATCTGCATTTCCTCGTTCTTCAACTGAAAGAATCTCCTCCAACCTGAGATATTTACTGCGTCTTCTTGGTCGCAGTCGCAGTGCCGGAAGGCGCACTGTACATCCACACAGCCGAGAAAAGAACAAAGCCGGTGACGGTAGCAAAGATGCCAGACAACCAGGGCCAGGCGCCCGAGATGACGTACGAGCGAGGCCACTCATCGTGGGCCATGTGGCGGACGGAAACGGTGTTCTTCTCTTCGACGTTGGTGAAGAAGGGGCGCTTGTAGTTGACCTTGAAGTTGAAGATGCCGTGCTGGTCAGGCAGGATGAAGGAGGTGGTGTAGGTGGTGGCGTCGGCGGTGCTAGCCTTGGCAGCGAGCGGGATGCGGTGGAAGGGGGAGAGCATGCTGAACTCGAGCTGGAGGTCGTCACCGCTGGGAACAGTGAAGGGGGTCCACTTGTTCCAGGAGTACTCGGAGACGGAGATGGAGTAGGTCTAGTCAAGGAGTTAGCATCCTCTCATGGTTCTCTGAGCTTCTGATTAGAATTAACTTACGACTTCGTTCTTGATGCGGTAGAGCTCGGGGTTGGTCTCATTGGCAGCCTCGTTGAGGTAGTGCTCAATGTTGTTGACGCGCAGGACACCAGTCTCCTGGAAAGTCCAGCCGGCAACTCTCTTGGCAAACTCGCGGTTCCAGGTCTTGGTCTCCTTGCCAGCAGCCGCGGGCTTGATCTTGGCGTCAAACCACTTGTCGCTCAGCAACTCGGCAGATCCAACGAGGGTAAAGCGAGCGCTGTTGCGCGCCTGGAAAGCTGAAACGAGAGCGAGCTGCTCGCCGGCGGCAAACAGGTCGCTGGCGTCAACGACCTCGGCCTGCTCCTTGGGGTTGTAGCTGTAGGCCGTCTTGGGAGCGCGCAGGATCGGGGTGAGGAGCTGGCCGGCGCCAAGGACATGGCCGACGCCGCTGGGGAAGGCAATAACCTCGCCGTCCTCATGGAAGAAGTTCTTGACGCCGGCGCGGGGGGACTTGGGGGCGGGGATGGCGAGGACGTCGTGCTTCTCGGAGGCGCTGACGGTGTCGTAGTTGAAGTGGTCGACGACAAGGCCGGTGCGGTCGGCGGGGAGGGCGATGTCGAGCTCGGCCAGGAGGCTCACGATGGAGGTCGGGACGGTGGATTCGGAGGATAGGGACAGGAGGATGTTGCCCTGGGCGTTGATGAACTGGAGGAGAATGTTGGGGGTTAGGTTGGGACCGAGACCTGGAGATGCCATTGTAAGTATAGTCGATAGATCTGGAACTACAGTTGAGTCGCATACCCTTGCTCTTAGAGGGGAAGAGCAGAACGTGGTCGTAGACACGCTCGCCGAGCTTGAACAGCTGCAGAGACTCGCTCTTGGGGGTCTCGTATGAGATGCTGAATCCGCGGCCTAATTCAATCAATTGGTTAGCTAATCGCGTTCTCTCGTCTTGCAATTGCTCTCATTTCCGAGCTTTCCCATCCTCTCAAATGAGCTCCGACGTACTTTCCAAATCTCCGAGGAACTTGGAGTATCCCTCCTTCTCAGCAACATCGTCGAGAATTGCCAGAAGCCGGCCGCCAGTGACGCTAACAGCGTGCACAGTGGCAGCCAAGAATAGCAGACAAAGCGAAAGAAGAGACCGCATGATGGACAAAATTCAATGTACAAGATCGTAGGAGGAGGGGTGGTGTGTTGGGAGGTTCAAGAAAAAAAAGAGAAAGTTGGGCGCACAGCTGGGGTGCGTTGCGTAGCTGGCTGCACGGGAGAGCTTGACATGCACTTTTGGGATCCGGTGCATGTGTCTTGAAGCTTGGGGATACGTAGCCGTTGCCAAGCTAAGGTAGCGGTCGGAGAATCCCCGGCAGGTGGGTGGGAGGTCCATTGAGGTGGTCTGGCCTGAGCTTCCCGTCTCGCTTTCCAACAGGGGTACGTACTCGCCGCGTAAGGTAAGGTAGATAGACCCGAGAGCGCAAGTTATTCCGGCGAGGTTTATCCGACCCCTGCCGGCCCCCGGGACTCTTGCGGCTTCATTCTGAGCTTCGGTCATCGTGGAAAGACGTCCGTCGCCAGCGATAGCAACAATCTTTTGACGACACACCACACGGTCAATTGAGTACGTCATGCCGAGCAATTGCCTCCCCCCTCTTCAATATTGATCGCATCGCTAATTGACAATATCACAGTACCCAACAATGTCCTCCGCCGCATCTCCCCGATTCTGGGCCGGGCCCATTCGCTACTGCCGCTGGGCATCCCGCGAGAAGCCAGCCTACTTCTGGTCCGTCGTCCTCGGCGCCCTCGGCCCCATCCAGCTGGCCGTCGTCCCTCCTGTCAGAAACTTCATTGGCGACTACAACGCGCCGCCCATCCCCGTCACATACCCTGGTGAGTCTCGAGAAAAAACGAAAACACCGCGAAAGGCCGACAAGGCCCCCTCCCCCTTCGCCGAGACCATGGAAAGGAAACAGAAGCAATGCTAACGACGCTGGATTCACACAGTCCCCGCAGGACCCAGAAAGCAGCTGACGGGCTATGACGACGAATGAACCTTCGCCGCAAGACAAACCTAGAAAAACCCAAAGCATTCGGCGAAGGAAGAAAGCTATTGTAAATATGAACGGCGTTCGGGCTCTAGACAGCGAACAAGGGATGAAGTGGCTATTTGGGCAAGCTGCTGAATCGAAGCCACAACTCGCGGCTCGCGAGTTTGAGCTTCCGCACAGGAGATGATCTGCTTCGAGGCTTATGCTGTACACTATCAGTCACGCGAAGTTGTAATTCACTCGTGGCCCACTGCAAGTGTTCAAATGCGGCGATGTTCATTTACCAACAGAGACAGAACGAGAGAGAGGACGCCAATTTTATGCTAGCCTGGTAGAAATCCGCTATGCCCCCTTATAAACTTGATCGGATGCGATTGCCACCCTTCCCAAAACTTTTGTTGCCGGCAATGGCCAGACTCTATCTATCCCGCTGGACAAGGTTCCACTCGTACTGCGCAATTGTGTTAGAAATCATAAGCTCTGCAAAGCAAAAGGTTGTGTAAACTCACCACTCGCCCATCATCATCTCCCGTATAGACGCATTGTGGCATGGGCGTGATGCAAGTAATGCCTGCGTCGTAATTGGCTCCCACTTCTGATCGTGGATCGGTATGGTCCAAGCGGCGGAGCAGCTCCAATACCCATTTCCCGTTCTTGACGCACTTCTTCCATACATTCACACGACCTCTCTTGTGGCCGGTGAAGATCAGGCAATTCTCAACCCACTCGTCGCCAGCGCTTTCGTAAAAGGCACATGAGTGGACGAAGTCGTCGGGCTCAGCGCACACGTTCTGGTCGACGAGGACTGTGCCGTTGATGGTGTATAAAATGACGTTGGGGCCGGATCCAAGCATGATCTCGCCAGAGACGTCATTGATGCGTGCGCACTCCACGGGCCGCGAGAGAGGCAACTTGCGGATGAACTCTAGACGGTTGATATCCCAGAGGAAAGCTTGTCCATCCGTCGACGCCGACACAAATGTGCTGAAGGACTTGGACACGGCTATGTTTGTCACGGGTGCGCGGTGACCAAACAGCGATGAGCGAGGCAAAAGATCAACCACTTTACCAGGCGCTGTCTGCACAGCGTATACTGAGATGACGCAATCCTCTCCCGCTGTAATGAGCGTCTTGGAGTCTGCAAAGATGGCGCAAGACAGCTGTCCAATGTGAAGATTCTCAAATAGTCCCGCAGGCTTGTGGCTATTAGCAAAGCCCCCAGTAAACGTCTTCTCAGGCTGTCTTACCTTCCGGTTGTCGCTGAAGAAGAAGCGGACACTGTTATCGGCATATCCCCATTCGAGGAACTTGTCGTACGGAGCAACGTTCAGGCGGAAAGGTGAGGCACATATGAGACGGTCTATCTTTGGCGAGTAAATCAGAGTCGCTACTCTCTCGTGTGATTCTGGGACTCTCGTTAGCCGGGGTCAATGTGTGTTGGAAAGAGACATACCGAGCAATGGATGGGATAGCCTGGTCAGGGCATAGACCGAGGTATCCAATCGCCGTATTTGGCAAGAAAAGTGCTCGCGACCGGGGTGAGACCTAGTGAACACCTGGTGAGGAGTCTGACCAAAGTTGTGAATGACGCCAGCAGTAATGCGCCTCTCCTGAGGATCGCTAATGTTGTCCAGGTCCGTTGCCCCACGGTACGAGAGATGATGGAAAACGTTGAGGTTGTCTACAGCTGCGTCCCCTCTCTGCTTGTACCCAAATATCAGGTCGATCCAGTTGTGCAGGTGTTGGCTGACGTAGGGACTTTCAAGTGCTTCGCGGTGCTTTGCAATGAAGATCTTGGGATCACCCTTGGCCCAGGGAGGCAAGACAACATTATTGACCTTCGCTCCAGTGCTCTCGCGGTTGCCAAAGTTATACTGATTAATATTTGTTAGAAATTCTGGGAGGCAGAAGAACTCCGGAATAAGCTCTCTGACATCGGCCTTGTTGTCGCACGAGGCAGACTTCCACGCATGAGGAATCGACTGGAAAAGACGGTCGGCGTGATCAAACGAGCCACCTTGAAGGAGGATGTAAGACTGAACGAAGGGCGGAAGGCGAATGAGATATGACGACACAATCATGGCTGACGAGTAGTGGGTGCCGTAGTGGAACGGAGTTTCACCTATCTCTGCCAGTGCATCGTACGACTCCCTGAACCCGGAAACACGGCCAGCCGTCTGAGCACCCATCGGCTTTGAGAGGTCTCGGAAAGTTGCCGGATCGTTCAGATTGAGCTCCTCGCTCGTATAGTCCGCTAGGACCCACGGGAAGACGGGGTACTGGGTCAAGTCGTTGAACGTACGTCCTGCCATCGTGTTGACTAGCATGAGGTAGTGAAAGTTGGACATTTCTCCTTTCTGCCACTTCTTCATGGCAGGATTCCAGGGCGTGGAGTTGAAGATGCTTCCAAACTTCGAACCAAAGCCTTGAGGCATTTCTTCTGAGACTTTGAGCGCTTCAAGACGCCAGGCGTCCTCAGGATTGGGTAGTGAACTAGCGGAGTTTGTATGCGGAGCCTTGTTCATCAGCTTGCCAAAGACCTCGTCTCTCAGGATCGGGTTCATGGACGTCAGTAAGTAGCTGCGTCCGTCTGTGAAGAAGACCTCGATGGCAACATCTCGGAACAGGAATCTTCTCTTGGAGATACTGATGACATCGTGCCATCTCCAGCTGCGGGATTCCTGTTCACTTCGACTTGAGCTCTGGCGTTGCTCCGTGGTTTTGGCGTCCGTGATAATCTCCGAAAAAGGGTCTCGTTCCTCAGGAGGAGCTTGCCAGGCATTGACAATTTCGCCAGAGGCACACTGGAACACATTGTCCATGATATACAAGGCATCTTTGCCGATGATGAGAATACCCTCACATCCCTCAAGACCAACGATGCGTGAGATGTTGTACACAGCTTGGACTTGATCCCCTTGTTCAAGCCGCCTCATAACCTTGCGGTTCTTGTCCTCGAAGCCATCATCGCCTTCGTTGGCGTCGTTTGGATCGTCAACAAGCTCGAAATCCTCTTCGGCACCTACGCCAGACTCATTTGTCTCCGTATCCTGGTCAACATCCGGGGGGGTATCGGGGTTTTCTGCGCCATCGAGGCTCGGAATAGACTGTACACGTGATGATGCCGGTGTAGCCGATTTGATGGGCGATGGTGCAATCTGCACAGGAGCCATAGCAGTGTTAACCTTCAGGGCTGAAGGAGTGGACGGCTCTCCTGCTCTCCTCTTCGGTTGGTAGTCCGAATGCTTCTTGGAGTAGTCAGGCAGAAGTCTCAGACGCATCCGATTGCGTCCTTCAGTTCGATCAAGCTTCCACTTAAGCTGAGCTTGCTCGCTGAATACAGCACCTGGGCGTCGCAGATCATTATCCATCTTGACAAATGCCGCACCCAGGAATGCCATATCATCCTGCTGGTCTTGTGTCAGACGTTGATGCTTGAAGTGCTCGCTGGTAAAGATGCTCTTCATCCAGGCTCCGTTCGCCATGTCGTGACGGAGGAGGATATTATCCACGGTAAGCGCCTCCGTCTGCCACGCTTTCAGTCGATCTCTGCGCTTCGCTAATCGGAACTTAGCCGAATCAACCGTTCGCTGGTTTTCGACAACGACGAACTCCTCCCAGATCTTTGATATGCCGCCGTAAAAAAATGCATCAAGTGAAGCGCGGTGCTGGTCCACCCATTCGATGAAAGCCTCGTCGTCGATTTCGGTGAGCTTAACAACGAAATCCTTCGTCAGGTGCTGCTGGTCTGGTGCTACACATTGTCTGAACAACACCTTGGATTCATGGGGCTTCTGGACAAGCATGATGCGCATGATTGTAGCTGCGGCAGACCTGATGGATGTTCGAGGATCAACCAGCTTTGAGTACAATTGATACCAGAAAAGCTTCATGTACTCCTCCTCGTTCGCAAGACAGCCCAGGATCGGGGATTGCCAGTATAAGATGTTACTCATGAATTGCTTTGCGCTAGCGTCTGGCGTGTCTGGGTCGTCCAGTTCTGAAAACCGCAAGAGAAGAAGCTTCAAGAATGATTGGCGGATCGTTCCAACAGCTTGACTGCACAGCCGAACGCTTTTCATGGTCGATACTTCGGGCCTTTGGAGGTACTCTAGCACCATGCCAGCGAATTCTAGCATGGGCTCAGTACCGTTAATGAACCAGCCCTCAAAAATGGTATCTGTGACGTGTGCCGCAAGTCTACCCATGTTGGTAAGAACCTTAGGCTCGCTGAGAACCTTCTGATTCGCTTGGACATGGCTTCCAAGTTGTTGAAGCGTCTTCCTAAGAACAAAAGACTCGAAATAGGCTTGGTGCTCCTGGAAGCCTGGCGGAATCTTGAGGAAGAGACCGAATCCAGGGAATTCCTTGCGCGTAAAGACTTGCTCTATAAAGACACTGATTACCAGATCCACCATGCTGTCAAGTGTGGCGCTGCTTGACTGTTGAGAGGCGACCTTCTTCTTCGGTGACATGACGGGTGCAAACCGGACCGGGCTTGGGGCTTGAGGTGATGTTTGGTTGGTGAGCAGAACGAAACCAGATGCTTTTCGTAGAGGAGTTCCACGAGGGTTCCCTGCCAAAGCAGCAACTGCATCTGTGCTCATCGTCCGCACGATGGGACCGGGCTGAGAGCCGGCAAGTGGGCGAATCATCACATCCCCGCCCTCGAATGTCAGAGCTGAATCTCGAGAGTTGAGCTCCGTATCCGGCGTGACAGCGTCGGTGCTAACAATGATGGGATAACACGCCCATAAGAGATACCTCACATACTCAGATGTCAATGCAAAGTCCTTGAAGTCGGCAGACCGGGAGTGCAAGTCTGACAGGAATCGGATAACCGTCAGAAGCATGGGCGCGTGATTTGATATCCGCTCGTTATCACGCGGGCCATTTTCTGATACTATAGTAAACGTCAGCATCGTCATTCCCGTGCGTAGAGGTAACGACTCACTTCTCGCATCTAGACCCCTAGTCTCCATGGACTTGGCCCGTGGCCGGGTTTCAAGGCCTTCGAATCCGCTGGCCTGGAGATGATGTGACTTTTGAGGAGAATTTGGGTCCTCCTGATGCTTCATGACATCCTTCAAGCCATGTTGTAACATTGAAGTTATGACTTGCAGACATTCAGGATAGAGAACGCGAGCTCTTCCAAAGGTTTCAAGTAAGTTTGAAAACTCAAAGTTGCGTTCCAAGTCCACGTTGGCCACGTCAAGTCCGAATAAGATGCTGAAGCAGATTGGCCACAGGGAGGGGATGTGCCACCAGCGTTTAAGTCGATGTGCCATGATGGTGAAGCCACCAGTCTTGCCGGAGAACTTGGCCGTATACGTGGAGCCGTGCGTGATGAGGAGTCTGGCCAGGATCTTGCTGCCATATACTACCGTTTCGGGATCGTCGTTGGCCAAGAGATATAGCAGCCACTGGTCCATACTCAATAAATATAACTGTTTATCCTTTTCTCCAAATGGTGGTCTCACCTTGTTCGTCACTGTCCTTGCAAACTTGCGGATGTTGGCCAGGTTGCCCTTTTCGCAGAGCAGGTTCGAGTACATTCCCAGAATCTTGGCACCGAGTTGTCTCTTGGTCAGGAACCTGGAGGGGGACGTATTCGATGAGGTATTGGAGTCGAAGGTTGCCCGTCTGGCATATCCGGTCGTGGATGTTCGTGCTGTGGCAGACACAGGTCTCGGTGACCTTACCAGGGAGGCTGTTGGCGAGTGGAAGGCATATGTGATGAACAAAGCTAGTGACCTGTGCACCTCTGCTGTGTAGTTGCATTTCACCAGTTGCTCCAAAGCAGCCATGAAGTGTGGCTGCACCTCCTCGGATATCGATTCTGCTTTCATCGCGTCGAGCAGCCGTTTGACGATTCCTTTCATGTCGCTTGTCAGCAGTGCCGATGGCTTTGATCTGAGGGTCGACCCACTCATGCGCATTAATCTCCTGCTGTTAAATTGATGATACTTGCTCTTCACTGAGAATGTCACGAATTGCTTGTAGTATAGCTCCTGGGTGATGGAAGCTGATCGTCTCCAAGTGTCGAAATCGATAAGCAGAATGCGGTACGCCAGAGGATTCACAATGAAGGACTCCAAAGGCTCTGCATGGTTATAGCCCACGAATTCTAGGACAAGGCTCAAAAGCTGGAAACTCAATCTATCCCGTTCTTCACTTGAAATCGGTAGGCGTAGATTGGCGCTGTCAGCACCCAAGTTGACGGTATAGCCCAGTTTGGCTCTGAGAAGCATGCCGAGGATAGCGTAGCCATTATCACGCTCCATTGCCTCGCTGTTTCTCCAGCTCTTTCTGATGCACAAAAACGCCATCTCGACTGCTCGGACAGTTTCTTCCACTGAAGTCGCCCTTTCAACAATCTTCAGAGCCAAAGGGGTGAAGCCTGCAAGGCGCCAGAAGTTGTCGTCAAAATAGGAGGGCATCACCACCACAGGATTGCCAGATAGAACAGCAACACCTTGGGAACGTGCGAGTGCATCCAGAAGGCATGGCAGGGCAGCGTTGATCGCAATGGCTGAACCGCTTCTATGGGTCATTTGAATGAGATTCGTTGCTGCAGGCCGAGGCAGTGCACGGTAAAGCTGAGTATCTTGATAAACGCCATCTTCTCTGAAGACACCTGTCGGGAGTATGCTCAGTAGAATCTTGCTTTCTGGGAGGAGGCTGCCAGCCTTGTCTCTGATGGCTCTTATGATATCAGAACTCTCATCTCTTCCAGGATGGAAAACTTCGTTTCGTAGTCCTAGGCTCGCCGAGGCCTCGTAAGTCTGGAAGCCACCTAGGCTATCCTGGAAGTTGCCCTGGTACTTTGGGGAAAGTCCGTAGTGAACAGCCAGGAAGTCATCGCTTAGGGCGTCTTCAAAGAGATGTGCTGAAGCTAAAGACCACTTCGAAAAGACCAGACCGGAACCAAGTTGGCTGGAAAGATCTCTTGGAGTTCCTAGGAATGCCTGAACAGGATGTTGCTTTGCGTTCGTCGAAGCAAAAGATGCGAAGCTTTCGGTACTACCGTTGGCGAGTGGTGGCGGCGAGGGGTATGCACACTTGATCTGCTCAACAAATTCGCCGTTGACGTAAAGTGAGGCTTTGCTTGCAGTCATTGTTTTTGGTCGTCTGTGAACAAGGGCAATATGGTACCATTGCTTGTCCTTGAATGACATCCCTTTGAACCTGACGCTTGGTCGGCTGGAAGTGACCGAGGTCTGTAAGATGAAGTTGCGTGTATCTCGCTCAAGATACATGAGGAGAAAGCATGTTTGACTGGCATCAAAGACGCCAAAGAGGGTTGTATGTGAGTTGGGGTCAAAACGATCCACACGAATCCATGCCGTAAAGGTGTAGCCTGGAGATGAGCTGGGAGGAAAAGACCGGCCGAGGGTGGGTAATTCGATGGACGAGTGGCCGTGCAAAGAGAGGTCGAATTGGAAGAATGGCGGGCCGCTGTACGTCGAAGTCATCTCCAAGCAGAACTCTGAGGCTTCTGGCAATGTGCTCGCCAGTAAGAACTGGGTGTCGGCGGGCTGGTTGAATCCCAAGTACATGAGCTTTTTGCACATGATGAGGAGCTTGTCCTTCTCTGCTTGGTCGAGATTGGCGACGGGGCTGAACAGCACGCAAAGGAAGCGCGACAATACTCCGGTTGAGTGGAGAGCTGCGAGATTGAACATCGAGACGGAAACTGCGCTTGACATGATCTCCAAGACGGCCATTGAGCAAGAGTTGGCCGGCATGTCCTGCGCTCGCGGGATAGACTCCCAGAAGCCCACAACAGCACGCAGAATTTCAGGGTTTCTGAAGACGGCCCGTTTCTGCATGGCATCGCGCACCTCCTGGATTATATCCTTTCGTTCTGGAACTTGCGGCGTTTTTGGTTGCTGAGGGTCGTCCTCAGGAGGCTCCTCTCGGTTCGTTGTCTTGGCATCTACGTCCTTCGACTCTGAAGTTGTGGCAACTGACTGACATATGGCGTCCATAGTCTTGTCCCCGAGCGAGAATGCTAGCAATTTCCCAAACATCTGACAGTTGGTCCACAGATCAGAGTCGCTTCCGCCAAGGCCAACACTGGCAATGGTCTGCTCGAGAGCCTCCCATCCTCCACCTTCCACCCTGTGGCGAAAGTATCTCTTGTTCCCTGGATGATCCAAAAAGGCAGCGGCAAAGACGTCCAAGACAGCTTCAAGCAATCCGAATAGGCCTTCCTTTTCTTCTTTCGTTCGACGCTGGGGGTTGTAAAAGCCCGAGTAGGATCTCAGCACGTCGAGGAGCCTATTAAACCCGTGTAGGTGCCTAAAATCGTCTTGGGGCGGGCTCGGGGGTTCGGTCGCGGTAATGTGCTGTCGAATCTGGCGGAGGCTCTTGATGAGCACGGGAAACTCGGGGTATCCATCGTTGGTTCGTCGTTGCGTGCTTGACGTGAGTGTATCGAGGAGGCCGCGCAGGATTTCGAGAGCTTTCGAGTTGGCGGCGCTGGACGATCTGGAAGACGCCGAAGTCGACGAGCGATAACGCCTCGACACTTGTAAGGTCGACATGTTTGATTTCTGCTACTGTAGCGTTTCCCTCATTCCAGAACGTTCAATCCCAGCACCCATCGAGGGTCCTGGCAACGGTCCAAGCTAGTCGGCATCGAAAGTGGGATGCGGCGTGGGATCGAACGGCAGCTCGCAGCTGAGGGTACCGGTCGGTGGGGGATTTGAGTAGTATGTGTAGTGGGTGTACGGGTGGAGGTTCGAAGTGGTGGAATAGTGCAATCTCAAGGTAATGAAGAAGCCGCAATTCTCGAATATCTTGATAATAAAAAAAAGTGAATCACCTCGAATTTGCTTCGATTTCCAGCTACGCGTTATCGCAAAGACGGAGTCGGAGCTGATGCTTGTGAGTGTCAGCCTTGAGCAGTGAAGTGTGGCTTGCACCGCTCTCAGTGGCCGCCTTGTCACGCACAAGCAGGAAGGAACGTCGAACGTGCCGGCCGCGTTGGGAAGGAGTGGGGTAGGAATGGTGGCGGTGCTGGAGCAGCTCTGTGGACGGACACCGACACCGCTAAAAGATGATGCAGCTCAGTGAGCTACCGGTACTCCACTGAAGCAGACCACCACGTCCATGTCCAGCTTGGGGACCCCGTTGCATTGCGCAGAGACGATGGTGACACGCCTTGCCCCCATGCTATTCATGGAAACAGCTCACACTGCGTGAGAAGGGTGTAAAGCACACAGTGAGGGCCATCTTACCTTGGCGTTCTTGGTCTTCATCTTCACATGCGAGGTGGCTTGATGACCTTATTTACAATGATGACGCCCTTGTGAAGAAGAGTTCACATTGTTTGCTACCTACCTCACTGCCAGAGAGCTCTCATTACCATACTGCCTGCTGCGGGTATCTGCAGTGACATGTTCCAAAATGCGAGCCTGGCTCCGACAAGCTTAGCTGAGCTTCAGAAACAAGGTGCGTCTTGGTGCAGATAAACCCTGGCTTATCGCGGCCAAACTGAGATGTGCAGATAGAGAGATAGGGATAACTTCCGGTGCTAACACTAACAGTGGACTGGGATAATCAGAGTGGACCCCATGAAACATTGTTGCTTCATCCCATTCGAGCACGCTCTCAGATATAGACACCAAGGTATCTGTATAGCAAGTACCGAATCAATAAAAGATGGATGCTGTGTCGTTTGGTCGGCAGCTCGGACCCCAAGTACCAAGCTGACGCGAGTTGTCTTGCTTGCCTGGGATGGCGAAGAATACCTAGGTACTAGGAAGTAGCCCGCTTGGTGTCATATCCCGTACATGTATACATAATCGCCCGCGACTGCATAATCGCTAAAGGTAGCTGGAGGGTTGAAGAGAACACCCTCACTGCTGCATGAAACCCACCAGCAAAAGCTAGAAAGGACCGCAAAGACATGGAAACACGAATCAGTCGACGGCGGCCTATCAGTCTTTCTAGCTCTTTGAGTCAGTGGCCAGCCTTCAGCGCTAGATGGCTATGACAATGCAGGTAAACAAAAGACAGAGAGTCGGTCAAACTGCCCATGTGTCATGACTCCGTTGACCGGGGTTTGCTTGGGCGATCGTCGGCTCAGGTGCTGGCCATCCTTTCGGAGGAGCATTGCTGCATCTGGGAGGAAGCTTAGGCGGCATGCGTGGTTTCAGTCTGCCTCTTCCCAACTCCTCGACACCGAAACATGGACAAGCTTGGTTGATTGTGGAAGAACTGAGAATAGTGGCGAGATGTTCTGGCAAGGCGACGATGCTCACCGACATGTTCGCCGCGATGGTGTCGAGCTTCGTTATTGCATCTATGGTCAACGACACGCGTACCGCATACATCCATATCGAACTGGCGTGAATGGCCCAATTGCCTTTATGGACGGATCAAGATGGTGTGTTGAGTTGCAGTCCTCGCATTGACAACCGACTCGCAAGCTCGTGGCGTTTTCTTTATACGCAACACCCACAGCGACGTTCCTGAGCCGATGGGCGGCGGTTGGTGAACTAAAACAAAAGGCAATTGTCATATTCGGACGAATGTTTCCGCTCTGCTGACCTGTGCGAGTAACGCAAGCCGCCGTCGCCGCCGCCGCTATTGTTGCCTCCCATACTGAGAGAACCCGGATGAATCGTTTGACTGAGAGCTAGAGCTCGGGGCTGGCAGTTGGCAGGTTGGCTCTTCCGACTTCGTACCAAACTACGGCTGGCCTGTCTGGCACGCCGCACGTCTGACTTGCCGTCTCCAGCAATGTCTTGTCCAACGCCAGACTGCCTCCCGATGACGGGAAGACAGGGGAATGGATAGAGGCACGTGCCAGGCACCACACGGGGACGCTCTCATCTGACCCGTGGGTCAGGCGTCTGGCTAGCTCGGACCAGCGTAGCGTTGGTGCTGGGCCTCGTCTCCCCGCCTCCATGTTCCAGTCAAACAGCTTGCTCTTGAATCCCTTCCGCCTAGGAGCTTGCCCTTGAGCAGTGGGTGGCAGGGCAGCAGAGGTACCTTGCGGGATACCTAGCTCAAGCATCGAGAACCACCTGAGCGACAACCGCCCGCCAGCATCACCTTGGATCTTTGGGTGCTAGGGGCATTGATGAGACCAACAAAGCAATCGCCCAGTTAGTGGTTCGGGAACCTGGTACCCTCTTCGCCTTGGATTTAATCCCGGGTAGGTCTTATCCACACAAAGACCCAGCTGCGCCCGACACCTTATTACAGTTAATCGCATCATCGTTGAGCAGGTTCCTTACTCAATGTGGCAGCCGGCAGCCCAGCAGGCTAGAAGGAACCGAGACGCCGACCTGCGTCCCGAGGCCAGGCAGGCAATAGCAAATCCGGGCAAACACCACGACGCATACTCCGTACTGCTAGCACACGACATGTAGGATTGGGGTCTCATTTCCTCTGAGTGGTCGACCACAGAGCTCAACAAAACGACGAAAGCTTCGAGTGTCGAGATAAGACGGGATGGCAGCGCTTGTTAAGCTTCAGGGTCCTCCGGATAGATCTGCCTCGCCCTCCGCTCCGTGAATCGTCCATTACGCGTTATCGCATGCAGCGTTATGCGGGATAAGCGGACTGGGTGGGTGTGCTCTGGTGGGTTGGGAGGGGGAGCTTGGTTGTGGACTAGTAGAAGTGGGTGAAGGACTAGTAGAAGTGGGTGAAGGACTAGTAGAAGTGGGTGAAGAATGTCTGAGGAATGCTGATAGCGCGGTACATCTTCTTGACTTAGGGAGCTGGTGCCCCCAAGCTGCGACTGGTTGGTAGGCTGTGCCGCTGTGCTCCCCGTTCGGTGCCTGGCCCGTCTGGCATGGCATTGGCGCTGTGCTGGCTTGATCGTCCGTTGCTTTGGGGATGCTTGGGATGGTCGATTGAAAGCTGTCAACCATATCGTATTCGTGAGAAGGTTTCTCGGAAATAAGAGAGCAGCCTCGCAGCCACGGCCTAGTCGTCACTTGTGAGCCCTGGGTCGTGAGAAAGAGTGAGACTCCGAGGCTGTTGGACAGGGCAAAGCACGGAGTACATTGCCCGCCCTTGTTCTGCTGTGACTGATTGCCTCCGTATCGGCCTTGGCTATTAGGACTCGGTCAGATAGCCTCGGGGGTATGACGTCGCCCTCAGAGCTCTGACTCTGGCTCTCAAGGTACAATAATCAGTCATGCGTGTTTCCCTGTCGGTTGCAACCACGAGAATCCGGCCTATTTTGCTAAGACATGGAAGAACATGGTGTCTGGAGATTCGGATGAGCGTAAACGGTGAAAGACGATAGAAAAGCAGCATGGCATGGCAGGCACATTGTCGATGGCGGGAAGCTTGGGTGAAGCTTCCCCAACAGACGGAGGCCGGATTGGTTGTGTTCCTGGCAGATGCAGCGTGCCGCCAGAAAGAAAGAGGAGAAGTAGAGGTACCTAGGAGTGTCACTTGCTATCGCCCATCTGCACAATCCCATCCCCGTCCTCTGTCCTCTTTTGAAGCAGCCTCCCGTATTGAACAAGTGACAAGCTGCTCGGGGTAAAGTGGAAAGGTACCTTACCTACCTTGCCTTACTGGGTAGGTACCTTACCTAGTAGAAGCCAGGTACGTACCTGTTGCCTGTAAGCGGGGACTGTCCCAGGGAAACCCCAAACGTGACCCTCCCAGACTGTCCCAGTACCTCCCTTATCGCATTGCCGAGGAAACCCTATCGAGTCATTCCATTGGCTCTCTCGCCATCACGCTAAGCCGGTTTCGGCCCCGTCAGCCACCCTCCAGCTCTTATCTTGGTTGGCTGCGTCACACACTGGCAACACTGGGGCGGCGCAACCATCCTAAGGCCGATACCTCACCTAGAGCTGTGCGCACGCAACCGCTGTCGCTGCCTTCCCTTTATATCTACCCGCTCCCGCTCTCCAACAGCTCCATCGTCTATCTCTCTGCTCCATCTCTCTCCCATCCCTCCCCCTCCATCATCGACCATCCATCCTCTCAATCCCATCGAGTATTCGTCTGTCCTTGGCGTCCTTCGCAGCTTCAGTTTCCTTCTCTGTCATCACAACCAGCGTCTCCGGTAGACTCTACTCACCACCACAACACCGCCCATCATGAGAGGCTTCATCGGTGCTGTGGCCGGCCTGGCCGCTGTTGCCAGCGCTACCCCCTCTCTCTCTATTGAGACTGTCCACGACGGCGCTGCACCCCTCCTTTCTTCCACCAACGCCGAGGCTGTCCCGAACTCATACATCGTCAAGTTCAAGAAGCACGTCTCGGACTCCGGCGCCTCGGACCACCACAACTGGGTCCAAAACATTCACTCCTCCGCTCAGGATGAGCGTCTTGAGCTGCGCAAGCGTGGCCAGGAGCCCCTGGTTGACGATGTCTTCCACGGCTTGAAGCACACATACAAGATTGGCAAGGACTTCTTGGGCTACGCCGGTCACTTCGATGATGCCACCATCGAGAAGGTCCGGAGGCACCCTGACGTAAGTCCGACCCTGATACCCTCCTCCCGAGATCCACTACGCATCCTAAACCCGTGGACCCACAACCACTGCAGTCCGCGGCAGAGGCGGTCTTGGCTGTCCGACCCTGACGGGCTCGGGCTCTCTAGCTCGGGCTCTCTAGCTCGGCTCGGCCGCTTTCGGTTCCCCAGCCGCATTCTTGACACAGCCACTAATCTGTTTCTTCACAGGTCGAGTTCATCGAAGTCGACTCCGTTGTCCACACTCAGGTTCCCGTCAAGTCCCAGGTTGAGGACAAGTGTGACGGCGAGCTCGAGAAGCTGGCCCCCTGGGGTCTGGCTCGTGTTTCCCACCGCAAGTCTCTCGGCTTCGGCACATATGACAAGTACCTCTACGCTGAGGATGCTGGTGAAGGTGTTGATGCCTACGTTATCGACACCGGCACCAACGTCGACCACGTCGACTTCGAGGGCCGTGCCAAGTGGGGAAAGACTATTCCCTCTGGTGACCAAGATGCTGATGGCAACGGTCACGGCACTCACTGCTCCGGCACCATCGCTGGCAAGAAGTACGGTGTCGCCAAGAAGGCCAATGTCTACGCCGTCAAGGTTCTCCGCTCCAACGGCTCCGGCACCATGTCCGACGTCGTCAAGGGTGTTGAGTGGGCTGCCACTTCCCACACTGAGCAGGTTCAGGCCGCCAAGGATGGCAAGCGCAAGGGCTTCAAGGGCTCCGTCGCCAACATGTCTCTTGGCGGTGGCAAGACCCAGGCTCTCGATGCTGTTGTGAACGCCGCCGTCGATGCTGGTATTCACTTCGCCGTCGCCGCCGGCAATGACAACGCCGATGCCTGCAACTACTCCCCCGCCGCTGCTGAGAAGGCCGTCACCGTCGGTGCTACTGAGCTCGGCGACCGCCGCTCTTACTTCTCCAACTACGGAAAGTGCACTGACATCTTCGCTCCCGGCACCAACATCAAGTCCACCTGGATTGGCAGCAAGTACGCCGTCAACACTATCTCCGGTACCTCGATGGCCTCTCCCCACATCTGCGGTCTCCTGGCCTACTACCTTTCCCTCCAGCCTGCTTCTGACTCTGAGTACTCTGTTGCTCCCATCACCCCCAAGAAGCTCAAGGAGGCTCTTATTGCCGTCGGTACCGTCGGTGCCCTCAGCGACATTCCCCGCGATACCCCCAACGTCCTTGCCTGGAATGGCGGTGGCTGCAACAACTACACTGCCATTGTCAAGGCTGGTGGCTACACTGTCAAGCAGGAGTCCAAGGAGACCACCATTGATGACCTCGAGAAGGCCATCGAGGAGGACTTCGAGGTTCTCTCTGGCAAGGTTGTCAAGGGTGCCAAGAGCGTCGGCACCAAGGCTGAGAAATTCGCCAAGAAGATCCACAACTTGGTCGACGAGGAGCTTAAGGAGTTCCTCAGGGAGACCTCCTTGTAAGCGTTGTACTAGAGCGCTAGAATGGTCTTTTATTTCCTTTTTCTTTGGGTCCATGAGAGTGTACGCATAGGGTTATTGCGGGATGGGACAGGATGGATGCATCGCTTTCATAGCTACATACAGATCTCATAGCACAACCAATAAGTTTTTAAACTGTAACCATTTCCAATCACGATGATCTTGATTGTTCAAGTTTGCCAAGTGGCCATGGTTGTCCAACCGTCCGTGCCCCAGGAAGGTTTGGACGAGTCTGAGTTGGCCCAAAGTTTGTTGATGTCCATGAGTAAGCCTACTTGTAACGCCGTTGGGGTTGAGGTTATCAAGACAAAATAGAATTGAAGTGAGCGCACACAGTAGCCTCATAGGATTCTTGGGGAATTAGTGCCATGGCTGCATGGCTAGCTTCCGTCATCTGAGTCAATCTGGCATTGAGACAACGCATTTCAACTACCTAGTCCTGAAACTCCAGCCAATGTTGGCTTGCCTGGCTTTCTGTACCTTGCGCTCGCTGTGTGAAGGGGGAAAGAATGAAGACTGGAATGTGATCCGGTCCCTGTGCGGAAGGAATGGCACAACGGCTGGCTCTTGCTCAGGTGCCATCTCATGCCTGCCCCCCAAAGGCCAAGGGAAGGGATCAGTCAGCGTTTCTCCTTCCTTCGCCTGGACATGACGTGCCTTCCCACCTCTTCTCTTTGAAAGTTCATTCAACCCTGGGGAAGGAGCAGTCATGGAGCTCGCCGTTGACCTGACTGCTGGCTGTTGGTGGCCCTACTCAAGGGAAGACGTCCCTCCTCTACATCCTCCATTCAAGCATTCACGGCTAATCATTTGACACTCTCGACGATACTTCTTCATAGTCTCCCAGCTTGCTTTTGGTTAGCATCAGGCCGAGTTCCCGAACGTCGACCGACAAACAGCAGCTTCACTTGAATCTCTCTACTCCCCTTTATTCCTAAGCCGCTTCGAGAGTTGGTGTCTTCCTTCCCCATAGACTCTCCTCCTAATACATCCACGCTCACCCTATGCGGCGACATAACAGTATCAAGTCGAGGTCGACTCTGACTCGAAGCAAGTCTACGGCTTCCGTTCGTTCGGCTGTTCAACGATTAGAGCACATTGATCCAGCCACTGCCGAAAGAGATGCTCAGATTGCTGCCACCCTATCATTCTCTCGTGCGAACCACAATGCCGATATGGGCATGGGATTTGAGACTTCGAGGCAATTCCAAAAACCTGTCAACATGAAGACTTGGTCGGAGAATCCCTCAAGTCAGCTTCCAAGCGAATCGGATCGGTTCAGCTCCAATGCCGGGGGTCTACCCCGACAGCAGAGTATTCGATTTGTGAAGCAAGAGTCTCGAACCAAGCGACAGCAAATCCAAATCAACGACAACTCTTCTGATATGGGGACTATTTGTCACCAGAGCGTCCTCAAAGACATTGTCAATCAGCCCGCAAGCCGAGCTTGTCGTAGTGCCGAGCGTCCATTTGTGAGCACTTATACGACCAACTACATCAATTCTTTACCTCCGAGCGAATCATTCGGGTCTCCAGACGAGTGTGCACCTGCTCCAGCATCTTATCGCAGACTCCGCAAGTCGCGCTCAATGTTTTCCCCCCTAAATCCGACAGGTTTGCGCCGACCAAGTAAGACATATCTCCGCGAGTCTCCGGAGCAGGAGAATGTACAGCCTGCCTTGCGACGGCAGTCTATGCAAGACATGAAGGAGAACAAGCCATCGCCGAAGAAGACTCTTGGACTGAGGAACCCAAAGTCAATGAGCTTCCTCAAAATTCGAGGCATTCTAGATCCTGACAGGCTTGGGAGCCGGCAGCAGATCGATTTGGCAGTCCAAGAAGCCGAGGACAGTTTTCGCAAAGACGTCGAGGAACAACGGCAATTGAAATCGCGACCATCGACGAAATTCTCAAAAGCAAAGAAAGGCCAAGCTTCTCTGAGTTTACGCCGTTCCATGAGAAACTTGAGCGCCGATGTTCAATCCCTCGGCCCGGAAAATGGTTTGGTTATCAGCAAGGACGCTTCCCTTCGGAAGAAGGCGCGAAAAGTCTCAAGCAGTCTCAAAAGCAAGCTGAAAGAAATGTTCCGCCGGAGCAAGAAGAATGGCTTGGTTGTGGAAGCTAGCGAGCCTCTGTCAAAGGTTTCGAATGTAGCCCAGGATCTTGTTGGCGTTGACAACGAACAGGACGATGCATACATGGACATTGCGGACCCTGTGTTGCTGGACGAGTGTTCGATCTCACAAGTGCCTTCGCGAATTCCGTCTCTTCACGATGCTTCCTCAACCCAAAAACTCCACTCGCGTCAAGGAAGCATAGAGAGCATTGGAGGTGAAAGAAAGGCATCAGATGAGAAGTCTCGCGTCACCAGTTGGACGAGCTCGGGCACTCATACTCTCAACAGCCAAAGTACTTGGGGTGGAGAGCGGGAGCGTCAGCGGCTGTCTGTCATCAAAGAGATTGGACCACACAAATCCTCTTCTTCTTTCCAGCGACCAAGCCTGGCTGACCGCAACCCATTTGAGTCCGAACCACAATCTCCGCCTCGGGATGGCCTCGTTCATCCCGGCCCAACTGTCGATAGCGCCAGAGTCTACTCCGCTCTCATGAAGCGATTGAACGAATGCAAGCCAAACGGTCAACGAGAAGACCAGCTACGGCATGGTAGTTTTGGGGGCACCAGTCTCAAGGGGAACGGCAAAGTTGGTTCGACAACATCCCTTGGCGGCCATGAACTTGACGAAGCTACGTATCAAGATCCACCGACCATAAGATGTGTCTTGCAAGAGGATGACGTGTTCCGTGACAGTCCGTGGGAGCAAAGATTGCAAACAGTGGTTGAGACAGAGGCCCCTCAGTCGGGTCACGATGAAGTAGCATCTTCATCTAATAGTACAATGCACCATCGCCCTCGCTCGGCTTCTGAGACTACCATGGGGTCTTACAAGCCTTGCTCAAGACCTGTGACCGGGGTCGAACCAGGCGACTCGCCCTCGAAGCCGTATAAACTGCACGGCGACAACATCGCGAATTCCCCAAGAGCATTGTCCACTCGCAGTTCGGCGTTCTTTGGCAGCCCAACTTGCCACCTCTTCCGCACCACGAGTCCATATCGCAAGGTCTTGCAAGAAAAGGTCAGATCAGAGTCACAGACTCCAGCTCCAGATCAATTACTGTCACCTTCGGTATCAATGCTGAACCTGGACCTCATACCCACAAGGCGTCGCCCGAGTCTCTCTAAGGAAGATCCCCGACTTGCTTACTCTGAAAGTATATACTCTGACGACCTTCTCTCCCCACGGGCATTACCACAAAGTTTCGTAGGACAAACAGAACCCAGAGTGCCACCCCGACATCCCAAACACAAATTGGCCGATTTTGGTCCTCAACAGACTCCCTCTATTTTCAACGAGTCGGGGCCTGTTGCGAAAGATCACAGTCCTAATGCTACTCCTGTGACGAATACACACCAGAGACGCTACTTACCAAGTGGCTCTCAGACTTACACACCGACAATGCCACAGAGCCGAACGATCTCAAACGCAAGTTCTGTGGAGTGGAAGACTTGGCTCTCAGCCAATGCGGCGCATACCGACGCCAAGTTGGCCGATACCTCGATCCAGAATTTGACGGAAGTTCTCCACGCAAAACCAAGTACGCCTAGAAGTTTGGGTCATGTGCGTGAGCGCGCAGAAATTGAGGACCTAGAATCTCCAACTTTGTACAGAGCCATGAGCACAGCAAAGGCGAAACTGCAAACGCCGCTGAGAGTGACTAGCCACAACCCACGTCAAGTGTCGTCTGCCAGCCGCGTTGAGCTTGGCATAGATGATTCAAAGTTCTCCACACCTTTGAGAGACGAGAACACGATCCCTGAGACGGACGGACGCGTGGCTAGGCGTCTTCGTGGCATCTACAACCCTCCACCAATTCCGCCCAGAAGCTCTTTGAGGACAACTCCTTCGATGCCGGTTTTGCAGTCTCGTCTTTCTCATAGCAACTTACCCGTCAAAGCCGTAGATCGACAAGCTTCCAAGGTACGCAGCATGGACGCCATTCCTAAGGCCCAAAATTTTGAGGCTCCCCTCCAGCCCAAGACACGATCTCCTGTCAAATTAGTCAGACGCGCCGGACTGCAAAAAGGGCTTCAATCGTCCGCTTCCAGCCCAGGGCTAACAATCGAGAAACAATTTGGGCCCATGCTGGCCAGCCATGATCGGGGGTCTCCCAGGGAGAGGCGGGGATCCCTTCGTCGACTGCTAGACTCCAGCGACTCACACGGCGGTGAGAGGTCGAATACCTCGAGCCTTGACTGGAAAGCCGAAGAAGCTGGCAGCCACCACTTGGTGGAGAACTTTCTCAGCAGTAGGCGTCGGCCATCGGTCCATGGGGCGTTCATATGAGAAAGCACAGTCAACTTCTGGTAATGCAAACGTATTCGGTTCAGTGAAACGCTTAATGCAAGTCTATTTCAAACCCTTTTATAATTAACGATGACTTGCGGGTATCATAGATGTTGTTACAAAATTCAATGTTAGTACATGGTTTGGTTGCGAATGCAAGGCTCTTGTGACGGCATCATGTCACGGATTTCGGGACATCCCCAAAACGATACTGAGCCCACGCGAAACTGCCTTCCTTCATGGTCCACAGCTGCTTCCCGCGGTCAGCTCCCGCAGCCCCGGCGGCCACGTGAATGGGCATGAGATGATCCATGTATGGATGAGCCTGCTTGGCATCGGGCCGTCTGCAGACCTGGGCCATCTTGTCCTGTCTCTCGGCGACGTTGGAGACCTCCACGGCCTCCTTGAGCGCGTCATCGAAGCTGACGGCGTACGGCATTGGCCGCGGATCGCTGCTCATATCGTAAAGGTTATGGACCGACATGCCCGCGCCGATGATGACGACGCCTTCGTCGCGGAGGGCGGAGAGGGCGGCGCCGAGGCGGTAGTGAGCATCCGGGTCCTCTGAGCGGAAGAGCGATGCTTGGACTAGTGGGACCTTGAGGGGGTTTGTGGAAGGGTTGAAGGCTACGTGGAAGCCTGCCCATACGCCGTGGTCCAGGCCGCGGTCTGTTGTGGGCACGCAGGAGATGTTGCTGCCGTAGGAGGCGAAGAGGAGGGAGCAGACGCGAGAGGCCAGTTGGGGGCTGCCGGTGTTCGGGTAGGTTGCGGAGTAGTAGTGGAGGGGGAACCCGGAGAAGTCGTAGATTAGGGGTGCCGGGCCAGGTGCGGCGTTGATTGAGATTGTGGTCGGGGAGGGGGATTGCCAGTGGGCCGAGAAGACTAGGATTGTGGTGGGGGCGAGGGAGGTTATTTCGGCGCCGATGTGTTGGAGGGTTGGGTAGACTGGGTGGGCTTTGTTGTACATGACGTCCGGCTTTGCGGTGTTAGTTTGGTTGTGAGGTATTATATGGTGTATGATGGTGTGAGATGAGGGATGTGGTGAGAGTGAGGTGGGGTGATGGGAGGAAGGGGGTTTGCTTACGCCGCCGTGGGAGAAGAAGTAGACTGGCATTCGGGGTTTCTTCATCTTTGGTGAATCTGTATGTTTAGAGGAAGTTGAGGTTATGAGAGTTGTAGTCACTGATGTGAGAAAGGCGCGGAGGGTCGGTGAAAGCATGTAGGCTGTCAGAGCGACTGTGAGGGATAGGAGGAATAGGGGATTTAGACGAGGCATCTTGAAGCGAGGTCGTTGGTTGGGTTGCCTGATAGGCGTGCGATGTGACTTTGAATGAGTGGCCTGGGGTGGGACGGGAGTCAAGCATATATGAACCTCCGGAGGTCGTTGGGCTCTATCCGACGGAACGGATGAGGGATGCGGCGCGGGGGTTGAGGAGGGGCCGGATGGCGGGTGGTTTTGTTTTCGTCGCGCGCGGCCGGGTCCACTGTTGTCTTAGCGGGCGGGTGGGGTGGGAGGCCCGTTCCAAGTGGGCGATGGAATAGAATGCGTCAACGCAGGGCCATTAATCATCATCCTATTCTACTCAAAGTACATGCTCTAAAGAATCCGTAAGAGATAAGAGGTAAGAACAAGAACAAAAAAGAATAACGGAAATAGTAAGAGCGAGAAATCAATGAGAGCAACGAGACAGTAAGAGCGACAGGGATTGTAGCTGCATCGGGGTCAGGAGGGGCAATAGGAACAGTTTGAATAGTGCCTTAGAGATGACAGGAATAGAGCTAGGGTATCAGGCAGCAAATAATTGTGTCACCCACTTGCGTACCAATATGCGCCGAGGTGTTCGTGAGATCGTGACGGGAGGTTTACCGGAATTACGGATTAGGAGGGTTCAGGGAGGAATGTTTGGGCCATCTACTGATCTAGTGGCCTGGCGGGGTCCATTGTGAAGCTCGAT